CAAAAACATTTCATCGTTGAGTTTGCTTATGTCAGTGTAACACCCTTGGCTCCGCTCATGTAGATAAAAATCAACTGCGGTCTTAGCCCAAAGGGTATTATCCACAATTGTTTTCGGTAGTTGTCTCCTCTCCACTTCAGATACCGGAAGGGTACTAGCCGGTAACTCATACGAGAGCCAACTCTCATCCATCATGTCCGGAACCGGTGGGGGTTTCTCAATACTTCGATATATTACCCCATGTGAATCGGGCTCTGGAATGGTGGGAGGGACCTCTTCAACGATGACAGTGGCCTCTTGAACGGTGGGGGGGACTCTTGAGGGAGGATAGGGGCCTCTTGAACGATTGGAGGGGACTCTTGAGGGATGACAGGTGAGTCGGGCTTCTTCTTGCGGAGTCTTCGCACCATTGGGGTGAACGGATGCGTAATAGCACGTCCACGCCGTCTGATGTGTGAACTCCGTCGTGAAAGGAAAACCCGACGTAAAGCATCCACCTTATCGGGCCGCTAAAAAAATTAATACATAAATCAGTAAATAAACAGACATGATATTAAACAAAGACAAATATGTTTCAAACTAGCATTGTATTCACCCAAGTCATTATTCTATCATAGTTCACAAAATGCTCAGATAACATTCCAGAAGTAAGCACTTATATAAACATTTAAAAGGACAACATATATAAACATTCCAGAAGAAGAATAGTTTACTTTCGCAACACGAAACTTAAAATCGCAACGCGAAAATGACTATCACAACGCGGAAATGGCTATCGCAATGCGAAATGTAAATCGCAACGACAAAATCGCAATGCGAAATGAAAATCGCAACGACAAAATTGCAATGCGAAATGAAATCGCAACGACAAAATCGCAACGCGAATCACAAATCGCATTGCGACTTTCATTTCGCATTGCGATTTTGTCGTTGCGATTTTCATTTCGCATTGCGATTTTGTCGTTGCTATTTTCATTTCGCATTGCGATAGACATTTCCGCGTTGCGATAGTCATTTTCATGTTGCGAAAGTAAACTATTCTTCTTCTGCAAATTGAAACTTGAATGGATTGCATTACTTCAACCAAAAGACAAAAACAAAACCAAAAACAAATACTAACAAAAACAGTTTAGCAGTATTGGCAGCAACCGAATGAATTACGAGTATGAAAAATCTTAAACTTACCTCGTTGCGTAGAGTATGAACCTCATTTTGCAACGATGCTACCATCTCACGTAGAGCGGCTACCTCACCGCGTAATGTAGACACCTCAACACGCCATGCACCATCGTCTTTGCGTAAAGTACCGACCTCCTCACGCAAGGCATTGACCTAATCACGTAACTCCCCTAACTCATCCCATTGAGGTGGAGGTAGAGAACAGGGAGATAAACGTCGTGGCATCTTTGCCGGTCGCCTATCTTGCGGTGATGGTGGAGAAGAGGCTCGATGATGTGACAGAATAGGTGATGGCTGTCGTTGTGGAGGTGTATAGTCGGGTCGATCAGATGATGGCTCTGGGTGAGGTGATAGCTCTGGGCGAGGTGATGGCTCCCGAAGTGAAGGCTGCTCATCAACCGTTCCATCAAAAAAACGCTTACTAGCTTGCCACCAATCAGTGGCAAGCTCAGCTTCCGTGGGTGTCAGCCTCTGTAGAGGAGTGTTGGCCTCCTAACAATATAAAAGCTCAAACAAAGTTAAACGTGTACTAGTAATAACTTGTTTATAAACATATGGTAGTATTTATGTTAACTTACATTATTTATTGTCGTATACCGTAGTAAATCATCCCATTGCAAGGTCCGTTTCCTCTTCCAGGAAATAGCCCTGGGAATATCATTTGAAGTTTTTATTGCATATGTCTTCATGGCGGGAAAGGCCTCAAATATCCAAATCTACAAACAATATAATAACAAACATTAGTAATTGTTAAATAATTACTTAAAATTTTGGAAACATTATATAAAAATTCTTACCTTAAAGGCCCAAATAAAGCCTGTCAAAGTGTATTTGGAACCATCGCCATGCAAACTTTTTCGATCATCCAAGGTAGACGATAACTTATTCCATGTAGCTTTCCATAAATACGAGCCCCACGGAAACAGGTTCCACGCATTTAGGTCTTCTACCAATTTGATTAGATCATTTGGAATAGGTTGTCTGGCCTCTCTGCCTAAAAAGCCGGCATGCAAAAGAATTAGAAGGCATACTTGGACAACGTCGACGTCATCCATCCGAGTAAAACCATCTTTCTTATTCAACAATCTTGTCAGGTCTTCTACGTGTAGATTCGGCCTCTCCAGCTCAAGAAAAACCTGGGATAGCCATGATGGGCGGGTAATGTGTCTAGTGTACCGACCTACATCATCGTGTCCGAAGCGTAGACCGGTGATTAAGCAAAACTCCTCCCGCCCAAAACACGTATACGCCGGTGGAAAATCAAACCATATCTCTTCATCACGACGTTGTATAGTCTTTGGTAGATCGCTAGTCATGGTTTGAAGAAACAGGTGTGTCAACATCGCATCTCCACCGGGATGTTGTACTTTCAGCCATGGCCGAAGCATGTATCCTCAAACATTTTTCTTTGTGCAGGTGAAAGCTTCGACGCAATTGTTTTGGCCAGACTGACTTTATTTCTTAAGGTCAATTGAGCCGAATAAAAGTTCTACAAAAACAATAAACATACTAAGTTAGATATACCAAAAACTACACTGTGAAGATATACCAAAAACAATAATAAACATAAAGAGTAGTAGTTTATTCTTCAAACTTAAATTTGCAACACTGTGAATTTCGTATTTGTCTTTGTTTTTTGGTTGAAGTAATACAATTCATTCAAGTTTCAATTTGCAGAAGAAGAATAGTTTCTGAAAATGAAAATCGCAACACGAAAATGACTATCGCAACGCGAATTTGACTATCGCAACGCGAAACTAAAATCGCGTTGCGATTTGCATTTCGCGTTGCGATTCTCGGTTGATTTAATAAGCAATCTAAGTGAAATGGTTAATCTATTATTGAAATTACCAGTAAACTTATCATCAATTTCAATATGAAAAACCTAATAATAATGCAAAAATTTCAAAAAGAAAATAATTAAAAAAACTAACCCTCGTTGGTTGATTTGGTTGATTTTCCATTTCTGATTGTGAGGGTGGCTCTGAGAGATGGAGATAGACGGATTTCGCCGAGATGGGGACGGATTTCGTCGGAGATGGGTGAGAGAGTGAGAGATGGAGATGGGACTGAGTTGTGATTTTAGGTTTTAGGTTATGAGTTGCGATTACGGGATATACTGTGGACGGTTCAGTGTTCCAATATATTAATATTCGTGTTTGGAATTTAAAAATAAAATACTTGGCCATGATACTAATGGCGCTTTGAAAATCGCATTGCGATTATGTATTATCGCGTTGCGAAAGTCAGAATCGCGTTGCGAAAGTCAGTATCTCGTTGCGATTTTGTATTATTGCATTGCGATAGTCAGTATCGCATTGCGATTTTCCCAATTCGCGTTGCGATTTACTTATTCGCATTGCGAATTGGGAAAATCGCAATGACACTGTAGACCATCGCAACGCGATTTTCAACTATCGCAACGCGAAATGCAACGCGAATTTGCGATAATGGAGATCGCGTTGCGAATTAACGATCGTATTGCGATTTTGTTGATCATTTTAGCAAATCCGGAAAAAGTTGGTTAAAATCGTATATTATATGGGATTTTTGGTCACTGAGGTTATTTTCTCTTTCCATAAATGTAATTCATTTTCCATAATTCAAATTCCAGTAATTTATTTTCCAGTAACTCAAATTCCAATAATTCATTTTTCGAAAAACCAATTACAACCAAACAAACAGACCTTAATTTCAATGGTTACACATACACCAGAGTTTTATGCAAGAAATTAGTAAGAGTCCTAGCTAAGCTAAGAGTTGTGCAAAATAAACATAAAATTCGAACTTCTCATTCCTCCACAATTTTCTCTTTTTTTTCCCAAGAAAATCGGACAGAAAAACTAGGATTCTAAAAAAAATCAAATTTAAAGCTGAAAAAGAAAAGAATGATTTATTTTAATACATACCTGAAATGAGGCGATCCACGAACCTCATAGATTGGCGTTGGGGACATCATCTTCGAAAAGAAACGATTTTCCTATACGAGATGAAATGGAGAATATTTAAACGAGAGGGTGGTCTACATTGGATTAGACAAAGCTTAAACATAGATTAATTATTGATAATCATTGTTCGATGTGTCCTTAATTTCTTTTTTAATTCAAAAAGTCGAGCTTCTCATTCCTCCGTTTGTGGTCTAAATCACGAATAAGGTCTCAAATGATTTTACTTGACAGAAAAATAATTAATTAATAATTTCAAGGATTAAATCGATCAAATTAAAACTGTTGGAGCCAAAATAGCATCTTAATTGAATAATTAGGACTAAATCGAATTGTGATTCAAAATATAAAGGAGTAAGAATATAATTATCTCAAACTAGACAAAACATGGCCACGGTAAAATACGAAGAATGATGAGTGAAACATAAATATTTTGAAACAAATTTTATTGCGAAAGATAATCGAGATATATAATGATTGAATTTCGACGATAATCGAAAATTGTAATATAAAAAAATAAATTATTTAAAATTTTTGTGACAAAACTAACATATCCTTAAAGTTTAATGTATAAAATGACTTCTAAATATCATAATAGTCGCATAAAAACGATATCATTTTGATATGACAGATCACATTAAAATCATAATCATGTTAACGTCCTGTTAGTGATGTAATAGTGGAGTGGCATAATTGAATATAAAAGTAAAGTTTAATGTTATAATTGATAAAATTAAAATTTTAGTGGTATAGATGAATCAGGAGTAAAACTCAACGGACCTATTTAAACGGACCGTACAACCCCATTGGGACAATTACATAGTAAAGGGAAATAAATAAAAGAAATAAAATTAAACCCATATATACAGAAGTCATAAACCCATCCCACCCATTGAAAAGAGAAGAGGAAATTAATAAATTAAAGAGAAATCGCAGATCAGAGAAAAACCCTAACCTAAATGGGAAAGAAGAAGAAAAGAGTTCCGTCCAAGGTATGGTGTTACTATTGCGACAGAGAATTTGACGACGAGAAGATCCTGGTGCAGCACCAGAAGGCTAAGCATTTCAAGTGCCATGTCTGTCACAAGAAGCTCTCCACCGCCGGTGGTATGGCCATCCATGTTCTCCAGGTTCACAAGGAGTCCGTCGCCAAGTATCTCCTTTACCTATGCTATTATTATTATTATTCCCACACCTTTTTCCAATTGTTTCTCTTTTCTGTTTACTACTTTTATTCTTCTTATTTTCCGGCTTAAACTCTGCTCATCTTTTTAGGGTTTTTTTTGGGTTCATTAATATTTTCCCCCCATTTAATTTTAGGGTATATTGTGTCGCTTTTTTCAATGCTTTGCAATGGATTTAACGTAAGCGCTTCCTTTTTTGGTTTCTCAGAAACTTGTTCCTAATATCAAAATAGGAAAAAAATGCACGACGGGAGAAAGTAAAAATTGTCGAGGGTTGAGTTCTTTGTACTTTGGTATTTGTCTTTTCAGATTTTTCTTCTTTGCCGGAGCAAATTATACGACTTTTTTTTACTACAAGGAATTGTTTCCATGGTCAAATGTTACCTAAATACCTTTCGCTTTTGGATGAATAAATCGATTTGGGGAAGTGGCAACGCAATGAAACCTATGTTCTTGAGGGTAGCTATTAGTTCTTTGCCCCAATTTCGTTGATCTCTAGAAGAACTTGCATTCCACGCACAAAATTAAAAAATAGATAAATAGTCAGTTATTTCTCTATATTAATTCATAATTAGAAGCTTCTGAAATAATTTTAAGAAATACATAAAGAAAGTGAGTAGCATTTTTCAAATTTTTGTTTTGCTTCTTAAAAGTTGTCTTATACTGCCTGTTTGAATCTTAAGTGTTTTCTGGGTTGCGCCCGGAAATTCAGTTTTCAGTAGTTGTCTATCACTAAAGACCAAAGCCTACTATGTTTTTTTTTCGTCAGTGAAGTTTGCAGTACACTGAAAACAGTACATATTTTATAGGGTTCCCAATGCAAAATCTGGCAGAGAATCGACTGACATTGAGATATATGGAATGCAAGGAATCCCGCCTGATGTACTAACTGCTCACTATGGAGAAGAAGGTAAACATATTGATGTATCATTTATAATCATGCTTCATATCAAGTGATGATAACTTGACTTGTTGCCCGCAAACATACAAGTACTTTTGGTTTTCATAAAACTTAATATCGTTATAATTTGCATCCAAAATTGCCTTTTCATTTCTTCTTATGGAAGAAGATAGTATTAAAATTGGCAGCTTGAAGATGTTTTAAAAAAAAAAAATATTATTGTAATAAGATAGGCGAGTAAAATCAAGGACACATTTTAAAGTTGAATGGGAATGCATGTTTTTGTTTAAGAGAAGTAAATAACTTTGCAGGCTGAAGTGTTGTGTATAAAATTAGGTTTTCTGATTTCTGCATTTTTTTATGAATCCTCCTTTATGTGAACTAGTATTTTATTACAAATATTTCTAGATGTACTTTTACTTGGAGTTTCACATTGTAATTGGTATTTTAACTAACAAGTTTGATGCTGTTGCATATTGATTATGTTTTTATATTTGCCGTTATATCTTCCTAATTCTTAAAATAAGATTTCTTGCAGAAGAAGAGGTTCCGTCAAAAGCGGCCAAACTGGATATCCCATCTACTCAGTTTGTGGGAGGATTGATGCCAGGGCCACTTCCTGTTGGATATCCTCCTCAATCAACTTTAAGGGCAGTGCAGCCTTTGTATGTTCACTTTAGGCTTCTCTGTGCCATTTATTGCTAAGCCTTTGGGCTATGAAATAAAATTGTTGAAACTTACAATTGACATTTTTAAGAATAATTGGATTTTTTTTTATGTCATTGTTGCTTTCATTGTGGCTCTTGTTGTCTTTATATTAAATCATGCAGCATTTCCGCATGCGATTGTATGGTTATTCTTCATCTTCAAAAGTTGCTAATGTAGTTAGTCTGACCATTTAATGTGTTGTTTGTCTCAGGTATAATGCTGCAGTGCCTGTACCTCCTGTTGGCTGGGCAGTTCCTCCTCGTCCACAGCCTTGGCTCCCACGGCATCCTGCATCTTCTGTTCCCCCATCTGCACCTATGGGGTATGTGCAGCAGCCATTATTTCCACTGCAAAGTGTGAGGCCTCCTTTGGCTGTACCTTCAACATCAGCTTCACTCCAACCTTCACAAATTGCTCCACCTGGATTGCCGACATCAACACCTACACTTCCTGTACCCCAACCATTGTTCCCTGTTGTCAATAATAACGTACCTACTCAGAGCTCACCGTTTTCTGCTTCTTTTCCAACAAGTGTTGCAGACGAAAAAACTTCAATTGAAGTGCATTCAAGTGGTAGTGCTATGGTGACAGGTAGCTGTGAACCTGCTAGTATTCCATTTTGACTGATCCTATGACTAGACATAAAAATTGTATCTACATTGTTAGTTGTCTACAGACTTATATAAAACTAACTCGCATGGTGTTCAAGAGTTGGAAACTTGGTGATAAAATAAAGTGGAGAGAATAAAACTAGGCAAAAACTATAAGACCTTATGAACAAAATTGCTTTAGCGTTTGCTGTCCTTTATAGGGTTGATGACTTTTGACATATATATATTTTAGTGAACCCTTTATAAGCGATTAATAATTTAGGTATCATTTGTGCAACCCAACTCAATGATGGCAGGTGAGGTAGTCCACCTCTGTCACACGTGCATTTATAATTTCATTAGAAATAGAATTAAAAGTTGTATTGCTTCCACTGATGCAAGCGTGCAGAGAACCTGTGCTTATAATTAAAGGACCTGTCTTGAGTGCTTTACATGCTTTGGAAAACAACACAGTCCCCCCCCCCCCCAAACAGTTGTGGTGCTTTGTTCAATAGACTGAATCCATTTTTCTTGACTTAATTTTTTTAATCCCTGTCATCTTCCCTGCTGTATTACTTCTACTTCATTTTAAGTTAACTTGCTTCTTATTTTTGTAACTTATATATATCTTTGCTTGCTTATAGGTGGTGCTGGTGTCAATTCTCATTCTTATTCCTCTGGTCCAAATACCGGTGGCCCATCTATTGGACCACCCCCTGTTATAGCAAATAAAGCTCCTGCTGTCCAGCCGGCGGTAAACGAGGTTTATTTAGTTTGGGATGATGAGGCAATGTCCATGGTCTGTTCCTACTTTTTAATTAGGTTTCTATTTCCTCTTTTCTAGATGATGCTGGAAAATTTTATTTAAGGATTCAAATTTATATACTTGTAGGAGGAGCGAAGAATGTCTTTAGCCAAATATCAGATGCATGATGAAAATAGCCAGGTAAGTCATAACTATCTCTCTAGTTTATGGACTTGGTTTGCACATCTAACAAGATGGGTAGGCTTTATGTTTCATGTTTTCAGATTCAGTTGTCTATGCTCTTGTTACCTATTTGATGAGGAATTTTCGTGTGATTCCTTTTTGTTGCTTTGCATTAAAAAAGAAATGCAATTTGTGGAGGATCCATGAGCCCTTTCATCAAGAACACCTATTGATTGACGGGCATCCACTTTTATTTTAAAATATAATTGTTCCACTTTGCAAGCAATTGCCTCCAACTGTTTGTGTCAAAATATTCAAGTAGGTATTTATGCCAGTTTTTCTGGTGTTGGTAAGTGCAACTTTGACAAGCTTGGTGCAATCCACTCACGGATTTCTTCCATCCAGTATTGAGCACGGTTAAGAATAGATTATGTATGTATGTATGTACGTACATAACCACTTAAAATTTGGATTTTATTCAATGCTATACATTCTCCCTATGCTTGATTTCAAAATGTGGGGGTTTGGGTGAAACAAGATGATACCCAACAGATTTTTGCTCAAATAAATAGCATTGACAGTGAATTCAAGACTTTTCCAGGTCAGCTTCTTTCGCAAAGTTTGGTATCTTTTGCATAGGATCAGGACCAGCTGCAAGCGAATAAGTTTTATCCAAGTGAGGGATGGTCGTGGTTCTTCTCTGATCATTTTCTTTGAATTTTGATTTCAGATGAGCTCTATTGATGCAGCAATAGACAGAAGGATCCTGGAAAGCAGACTTGCAGGTCGAATGGCATTTTAGTTGAGAGGTGCATCTTGAGATTTCTATGGGATTAATGAGTACTTACATGAACTGTGGAAAGAGGGATTGGATCCCCAAATTCATCAATCAATTTTTAGGTGGGTTATGGCAACAACCAAGGCAAGATGTAATTGTGTTGTATTCTTTTGCAAAGTGACGCAGAAGAAAGAAGAAAAGTTAATTGTTTTTTAATTTTAATTCTAAAATTTAGATAAATGTTCATTCGAGTTTAGGTAATGGATTTTATTGAAGGGAAGTGGAGTGATGATATTTGAAGGGAGGGTGAAAGGCTAAATACATGTATTTTTTTCATTTAGGATGCATTTGGTGAAGTAATCAATTAAACATCGAATCGTAGCTCGAAATTCTCATCATGATTTCAGTTTGACGACCATCTTGTCTATAACATCCATATTATTTATGGATTAAGAGAAAAGAAAATTAAATTAGGTGGGAACACTTAAGATTATGATAATTAGTGCACTGACAAATGGTGAAGGCTGACAGTTTCATTTGCCAATCAGCCATGTTTCTCTGGCCTGTGTTTGGGGGGTTTATGCTTCATTTGCCTGTGGCTAATTATAGACTTCGCGGTCAGTCGGATTATTGATCATGGTGGAGCAGCCAATGAAATGGCCAGTGTACTGTTGAATGCATTTGAGTTGGTGAAATTGTTGGGATCAGGGTTGGGGCGAATGATGCATTTGAGTTGCTGAATGTGTACCTTTGGCTACAAAGCAGTGGTAAAATTGATCTAAAATCCACATTCCAAGCGTCGTCTTATTCCTTTACTTTTACACCACCTATATATGTATGACTCTTAACATGAGTCAACGTTTGTTTACTTGTAAACTATTTTATGAACAAACATAAAACCACAACTACAAAGAGGGGAAGGAAACAGCAGTTAAAGTGTAGAAAAGTGGACCCTCTTCTACATGTGAAGGAAAATTTGTACACTCATGGTCGTTGTGCCTGTGTAGCAGTAAAACAAGCGTCTTTTCTGTAATTTTGTAAGAGCTGTATACCTATATATAGATATAGATGGCTCCAATTTCAGGGGAGGGCAGCCACTAAGGTTTAGTTGCCTTTGTTTATGCTGTTGCGCTTTGTCGCAGAGGTTGTGCCTCACTTGCAACTTCATTGTTATGTTGATTGTCGAGCGGCATGTACTGCGACATGATCGCCATGATCTCCGAGTCCATGTAAGACTGCAGGTGGAAACAAATGAATAAATATGTATAACCAAGCCATGATACAGATAAAGCAACAAACATGTTAAGTCAGTTACCCTGAGCCTATATTTGTAGAATATATACCCAGCTATGCCAGCAGCCATCACAGCCGCAAGGACCAAGAAGGTAATGAACCATCCTAAGCGCGACACGTTTCTTTCTGTAACAAAAAGATCATGTATTTTGGCAGCTATTCTTTCATAAATGACTAACAAATGCATGATCTTACCAATGCAAGCATCTTGCTCCCTTATGTAGAGAAGATCCCCTTTACACTTGCACTCGTATGCACCCCAAGTGTTTTTACAGGAGCAGCCATCGCACCGGCAAGCACTTCGTTCAGTGCATTCATCGATATCTGAAGCAAAAACAACGGATGGGGATGAACAAATTCCAATGTAATGGAGGCAAAACCTGACGGACTGAGACTTAAGAAACAAGTAAAGGTAAAAGCACCTTCACATTTATGACCATCCCCCTTGAACCCTTGTGGGCACTTGCAACCTTTTAATTGGTTTTCCTGCTTTATGCAATGGAGTGATTTTAGTCAAACCAAAAGAAATTTGCAGAATAATAGAAAACTATTGGAGAAATGACAGAATGAGGAACAAATCACTGAACTGCGCAAGCCGAGAAAGTTAATCCATCTTTTGTTTCGGACCAGCAACCTCCGTTGTTTATCGTACATCTCGCAGGTCCAAAGGCTGTAAATGGATGACAAATGATAAGTGGAAACGGGTGAACACATTGCCCATGTTGAATCTAATTTTAACACGAGGGAAAAAAGCTGCACCTTCACAAGATATGTAACCATCTCCTCTATACTGCACGCCCTTCACAATGGGGCATTCGCATACTCTTCCCCTGAATGTGTCCTGAACAAATTCACCATCCCTTTATATTAGCAGGATTCATGGAGCTAAACTGTCGCATATTCGGTTGCAACACCAAACCGTGTAAACTTTCTATACTTTACCCTGCATGCTGTTATGTTGGCTCGTTTATCCTGCCAACATCCACCATTTCTTTCGAGGCACTCATTAGTTTCAACATCTGTTAAAATAACATGAAGTCAATATTAAATAAGAGTGTAAACCAAATTTAGAATGTAAGCAGATCCAATCTACCTGCACTTAAACAAACTGAAGGTTCCGTGGTCTCCTTAAATCCAGCACAGATGGCCTTCAGCACAGCACTTCTCTCCAGTTTCCCTTCATAGCAGGCAAAACAAGAACTTCAGCATCATTTATGTAATTCAATATGAATGTTACTATCTCGTCCACCGACATGCTATGTAACAAACCTCGATATTGAACATTATTGATAACCAATGTTGGCAAAATGGTAATGTCACCACGAGAACCCCGGCCAACCTAAGTGCCATAGATTGTAACGAAATAAGAAAGTTAACATTTGCTTCTAGTTAAGATCATTAATCTTAAGATATTAAATTTGTTCTTAATATGAGCGAAGAAAAAGGTGTACGCGAAGTTGTTGCTCCTGTTTCAAGACTTCATTTTCGACATCAGCTTCAGGATCACCCATGCATTTCTTGATTTTCTCAATAGGCAAATCTGGTTAAGCATACGAAGCCGATCAAGTGAGAACACCGGAAGATACACAAAAATCCAGAAGAAAATAACACTTACCAAGCGAACTCATGACACCCTCAGCACATTCTTTGCTATATCTCTTCGCCTTCATCGAACACCTGATATGGAAATCTGTCACATAATCCCACCAAATCCAGGGCTTCTTGCTCTCATTGGAAACTCTATGCACACAAAGCTGTCTCAAGTTCTCAAACACCACATCCTTTCCTTGATATCCCTCTCTGAAATCTTGTTCCGGATCGGGAGCACAATATCTTCCATGATTTATACACTGGGACTTGCACTGACTGCTAAAGATAAAGGGTTCAGGACAATACCAAGTTATGTAATGTGGCGTGAACAAAGTGTAGCCTCCCTTTTCAAGTATCTGGGCATGCCCTTTGAAATTCTTTATGAAATTCATCTGCTCGTCGCAACGAATGCCGCACTCATCGTTGCTATTGGTCCACAGCTCATATTCAACCCTCTGGTCAGGATGGGGCATTGACTCCCTCCAGTCTAGTTTTACCACTACATCTTCACGCTTCTTCAAGGCCTCCTTAAGGTTGTCACCAAAAGACTTTTCGATCAAAGCCGACGGAATCCCTATCTTCTCCACATACTGATTTGCATCACTGTTTTCCTCAGGAGAATCCATAGTTATTAGAGGTTCATCTATGCTATCAGCCATCAATACTGCAGCAGCACCAGCCTGTTGGCCATGCCATACCTTCAAGGCAAAGTAGCATTCTACAAGTGCAACACAGCAGGTCAAGAACGATTACGAGTCAAAGACGAGAATCGTGACATACAAGGCTTTATTTCAAATTACAGAAAGGAAAAACCAAGCCAGTGTTCAAAGAAGACAAAAAAAAAAAAAAGGCTGGAGAAGCAAAATTCAACCCCTGCATACCATAAATTAATTGCTAATACTGTTACACAGAAGCATATGGACATGCAATTCATCAAGGGAACAAAAGAAGATATAACATTGAGTTGCTTTTAACAATATTATCCAAGAGAAATAGATGGAGAAAAACCTCCACGATCAAGGAGGAGGACAGAGGGGAGAGGAGACTTGGACTTGAAGGGCTGACCATCAAAGGGATCACAACCATTAGCTCCTTTGTCCGGATAAACCACAGAGCCTATAATGAACCCACCATAGTCTGGTATTCCAAAGTTACCTATGGAACCATCGTGCTTTCCTCTCAAACTCAATGGGGACAGCACCTTGATGCTGTTCTTCTCAACCACGAACCTTGCAGAGACTCCACCGAACACATGGATGGATGCTAATAAAAGAGGAAGCATGCATATCCATTTCATCGTCTTTAGGAAACTAATCAGCAGCAATGGAGTTCTTGTTTTCTTCAGGAAATTAAAAGATGTAATAGTAAAGGCACCTTGTTGAGAATAGTCTAGCAGGGGCGGTGAGAAAAAAGAGACAAGTCAATGAAATAAAGTATTAGTAATTAGTTTAATAAGATAGCTGTAGATATTAGATGGTTAATAGTATAAGGGAGAGGAGAGTTTACTTGGGGTGATTATTTTTAATTACTTTCTGGAAAATCTAACTGTGACGTGAAAGTAACGACAGAGGAAGAGAGGTGGGTGGTGGACTAAGTCTCTCCATATTTTCATCTATATATATATATATATATATATATATATATGCGCATGTTTTTAGAAATAGTATGTAGTGATTACGCACTGATATTTATTTAATTTTTTTTGTAAAATTAGATAATACGCATACCTTGTAGATATAATTATTCAAATTTAGTTTATTTGAGAATAATATATTTCCCGTTTATTACTAAGACTATGGTTTGTTTATTACTGAGACTATGGTTTGTGTGTATATATATATATATATATATATATATATATATATATATATATATATATATATATATATAGATAGATAGATAGATTCATACATAGTAAAAAGAGTAACCGGAAGATGAAATTTATTAAATAATGAGTTTGATGAAGAAATTTGCAAGAAACTTCAATGCTAGCTATATTAAGCCAAAAATTGGGTCTGGGTCTTGAGGTCTATTTCATGGATGCTTGGTTTGGTTACAAAGATGGAGTCAATATGGAATTGTGGAGGAAATAGCCCAAGTTACAAGGCAAGCCTTTTTCATAATTGTTTAGGTTACAAAGAATGAGGGAAATAGCCTTGCGTGCAAGCCAAGTTGGGACTACTTCAGCTTCATCCATTTTAGCTACCCATCCGTCAGAGTTCATGTCCAAAATGGTAAGATTCAATTGTAAATTTTTTGCTTAATTAAAAAATAAGTTTTCAAAATTATATATTTTATTTATTTTAAGTGTTTCAAGTATTTTTCGTTTAATGTAAGTTGATCCGTCACGACAGTTAAAAAAATCGTTAACTACCCAAATCGTAGTACATATTATGTTTATAAAATTTTAAATGTTTTATTTAAATAAAAATTTATAACTATTATTAAAAAA